ATTTTCCATATAAGGGTCAGATATGGGTACTCATTAATCCCTCTTTTGGAATTCTTCATCTTAACTCAAAAGCCTCATCTCTAGACTATGGGGGGAAAAAACAATGAATTTCCAAATCTGCCTCTTTGTTGTTCTGGATAAATGCAAGTGCTTAAGAAAAAAAAATCCATACTAACATTATGAGAACTTTTCCAATGCAATCCTACACATGAATGTTCGTCCAAATGAGTTTAATTGGACATACACATAAATGCATGTTGAACTACAGCTTGCAGGGAATGTGTCACTATTTTCTTCTAATTAGTTGGTCCTTAGAGTTCAATTCAGGTTTCACAATAATGATATAGCATTTGGGGAAAAAGATACAGCCAAGTAGCCCAGCACCAGAAGCTAAAATATAGACCACCTCCACAGCTACCAGGTATTTCCCCTTCGTACTCAAATAAACTGGAATAAAAGACAAACAAACACTGCAAAACACCAACATGCTGAAAGTGATAAGCTTGGCTTCATTGAAAGTATCCGGCAGTTTCCTGGCTAGGAATGCCACAACAAAGCAGACAATGCCCAGAAATAACAGGTATCCCAGAGAACAAGAAAACATTGTGACCGAACCTTCATTGCACTCAATTATGATTTCTTCAGCCAAGGAATCTAGGTCAAAATCTGGAAATGGTGGGTTACTACTTAGCCATACTGCGTAAATGATTATTTGAATAAGGGAACAGCATAAAAGTATAGAGTTGGTCAGTCTTTTCCCTAAACAGTTTCTCATCCTGGAACCTGGCTTGTTGGCCATGAAAGCAACAATAACATTGATGGTTTTTGCTAATACACAGGAAACAGCCAGCAAGAAAATAATCCCAAAAGCAGTTTGCTGTAAATAACAGGTCAATGTTTGAGGCAGTCCTATGAATAACAAGGTACAGAGGAAGCAGAGCAAAAGACAGATGAGCAAAGAATAAGTGAGATCCCGATTGTTGGCTTTGACGATGGGAGTGTCCTTGTGTTTGATGAAAATTCCTAGCACGGAAGCTGTGATCAGAGAAAAAGACAGAGACAGAAAAGCTAACATAATCCCCAAAGGTTCTGAGAAAGAGAGGAAGTTTAGAACCTTGGGAAGGCATTGATCCTTGTTCTGATTCGGATACTGACCTTCTTGGCATTTGAAACAATCATCCATGTCTGAAAAATAAAAGAGATTGTGTGTCAATCCTTCAGTTTTGACATTCATTTTCTTCCAGTAGTTATCAACCATGAACAAAACAGATTTCTCTCATCAGATTGTGTTTAACCTGCCCCCGCCCCATGGAACTGTTTTTATTTTAAATGTTTCTTTAACTATACAATGTCTGAAATCCTCTTCCACAGTTATGCTTGCATAAGTCGAGGCTGAACAGGTGGTAGAAAAAATTGTGGTCGGGCAGAATACACACAGGGCAACTGATTGCACAACCATGATGTGGATGCCACAGTCAGGAACCATGATTAGGAACTGCACAACAATTGTGCAATTGCTGTTAGGAATGATAGGATGTAAATTGTGCAACTATGATTGGCAACCACACAATTGTGTTGGAGGCTGAAAACTGTGAATAGCAGTGAATGCAAAAGAAATAAAAACAGAAAAAAGTATTTACATCATGTATTACCAGAAATGGCCACTAGAAGGAGGGAGAGATCATTCCAATTATTTTTCAACAGCAAGAATACATAGCCTAGTCTCTGCCACCCTCTAATGGCCAGTTCTGGTAAATACATTATGAAAAGATATATTTCGAGTTTTGCTCCTTTGCTCTTTTCAGACCGTGGATAAGTGAAACCATAGATACTGATCCCAAGGATCAGGGGATCCTGCTGTATAGGTTACATGCCAGGGATGCTGAATTGGTAGCTGCCACTTCCATGATTCAGCCATGAATGGCACAATCTATTTTTATGGTTACTGTGGTGGAAAGCTATGTGCAAATAGCTGGATAATTACACATACATATATTTTGAAATTTTTTGAGCAAGTCAGTTCTGGGCTGCTTCTATGCATTCACTAGAGGATGTGTATGCTAAGCAAAAGCAATTTTTGCCCATCAAATGCCAAAGAATACAACTAGAAAATATTGTCCTTTAAAAAGACAGAAAAATCTGCAGAATATTGAGTCACCGGGGAGAGCAGTACCTTTCATTTACTCATAAGTATCACAAGTTGTATTGTTAACTTGATAACTTATTGTAATGCTGGCACAGAGAAGGACATGATGCAAGCCCTCTAAATTCCTTATTCTCACCACTCTAGACAAGTGGTTCTCATATTTGGGTAACTCAGGTGTTCTTGGACTGCAATTCCCAGAAACCTTCACCACGAGCTATGTTGGCAGTGGTTTCTGGGAGCTGAAGTTCAAGAACCCGTAAGTTACCAGAGGTGAGAACCACTGCTCTAGGCTGTGTTGTTATGCCAAGACAACTCCATAAGGATTTTTCAATCTCTGTGAGATTTCTTGCCTCCAATATTAGGAGGAAAGAAGTGTTTTCTATTCAGATAGACCTTATATGGTTGTTATGCAAAACACAGCAGACACAGAAAATCGTTGTAGATATTAAGAAGGATGCGAGAAACCCATCACATGTCACTGAATGTGAAGAGTCCATGTAACAAAACAGCAGCAGCTGTCATTGCCTCAT